GCCAAGTGCTAAGCAATTATGCCACATTGACGACTTTGCTAGTTTTTGGTGTTTTGTATTAAGTAGTATAACTTTCAAACCAAGTTTTATTTTAAACATTTAAAAATAAATGTGGACCCATATATGTTAAAAGGATAAAACTTGCAAACCAAAGTTAGAACATATTACACACTTAGAAACCTACTGAATTTATAATTCCCCCAAAATTTGTCTTTTTCCTCAGAGATTCCAGCTATAAGAAAATGGAAGGGTATGATGGCCAGGCATCTAGTAAAGAAGAAAAATAGGATTGAGGAGAAGGTGCCTCACATCCTCCTCAGTTCTCAACAATGTTTAGCATCTCGTCGGCTTTCTGATAAAACTCTAAGGAATCAAGAGGGCAAGATTTTGTTCCAAAACTACTTAACCTACCTCTTATCTCTGTGTTGCCATAGCCATGATTTTTTGTTCCTCTGGCCTTCAGTTCTGAAAGAAGCACAATGGATAAAAACATAATTACTAAGGGTCTTTAATTCTCTGTTATGATGGCAGCAATCACTCGCCAACAACATAACAACAAAAACAAACATGATAGCTAATACAGTTGTTAAGCTCTTACCTGGTACAAAACATTTGTATACAGTATTTCACATGATGCTGACATTACCGTAAATAAGATACTGTTATCTTTACCATTTTATATAGGGGAAATCATAAAGAGAAAGCTTAAGGAATTTGCACAGGACAGAGTAGAAAGGACTACATAGGGCTGCTATGAGTTGTGTGTGACTCAAAACAACCCTATGCAAACCTAGGTTTCAAAACCCAAGTTCTATGTCTTTTGCCCATTTTGTAATTGGATTATCAGGCTTTTCTTCTGGGAGCCCTGTAGAATTCTGTAAACTATCACGGAAGCAGCTGAAATGCCCAGCCACAATAAAATGGATTGAGAAATTATGGTACATTCACACAATGGAACGAATACTATGCAGCACGCAGGGACAATGATTTTGTAAATTACTACTAAACATGAGAGGAACTGGAGAGCATTTTGCCGAGTGAACTCACTCAGTCTCCTAAAGACCATTAGTGTAGAGAACACTGTGCAGGGTTCCAAGGGGAAAAGGGGCTTAAATATAGGATGGCATAATTTGATGGGTGGAGGAAGGGTGGCATTGGTAAAGGAAAGAGGAAAGGTCTGGTGTGAAAAACAATGTATATGAACTTTATGAACTTTGTAAGTAAACCAGTATAAAAAAATTAAAAAACAAACAAACAAACAAACACCTAACATCCCAAGTTCTTAGCCAGTACACCTCATTATTGCTCTTTAAATGACAGAGTTGCTAAATACAGAGCTTGGAATATTGTAACATGCAATGCATGTGCCCAGTTGCTTTAACCTCTATTTGTCCATAGATAAACACTCAGGGACCTTCTTAGTCTCTCCTAACCCCTCCAGCAACCCCCACCCTCACCATTAGGCGAAGGATGACATTTAGGGGTCACCCTTATGCACCTGTCTCCACCTAGGTTGCACTGAAACCTTCAGAAGGAGACTGGCCAAGAAAAGAAACCTTACAATTTACTTTATGGGTCCATTCTTGTATTTAACAGCCCTTCTCATTGTCAGATTACAAGCTGTGGAAGGTCAGGGACCATTTCTTTTATTGTCTATTCCCCCCAAGATCCTACAGCTGAGAAAGTGGCTTGAATTCAATTGCACGTTGAATTGAGGAAGCTCTGTTTCCAACACTGTAGTCTGAAAATTTTCTCTAGGAGGCAGCAGAGCCTAAAAGAAGAGTTTTGACTGTGGCATTAGAGGGGCTGGGGTTCAAATCTTACTCTCTGCCAGCCTAGCTTTGCAATTTTTACCTTCACCTTTACAATGAGGGCAATAGCACTTCGCTTACTAGGTTAATCTGAATAGAATTAAGAAAGCTCACATCCCAACATCGTCAGTTCACATTTTTCGGAGAAGCAGTACAGTATTTTAAAAACTATTTTTACTTTGGAGTTAAAAGTGAATGTTCAAATCTCACTCTTTGCCTTTAACTTTGTGAGTTCACCCTTAACTTTGCATTGGAGTCCTAACATTTATTTTACTGGGTTACTTTGAGAATTAATTGAAGAAAAGCTCAACTCTTTGGACCCTACTCTCAACTTAACTCTCCAGCAGGTTTTCAGAGGCAAGTATGTCACATGAGAGGAGATTCCTCATCATTGTCTCATGGAGCAGCTGGTGGATTCAAACCATCCACCTTTGGGTTGGCAGTGCAACTCATTGCCTCTAGCCACGAGTACTGTACATGCTAAAAGTCAATCCTCTTAGTTTTGTTTTTCATTTGAAGGGCATTAGTCCTAGATAGCATCAAAGCCTAAATACCATCATAATGCCTCGAATATGACTAGTTATCTACACTAATCACTTAAGCAAAAGCTAGAAACCTTATAATTGGGTTAATCTTACTGAACTATTTGTAGAACTTTTATCCATGGTCCAAATTATTCTGAAAATATCTAGAAAGCTATGCTCATTTGAAAATAAATGACAACTATCTTTTGGCATCAAGATAGTTTATTAATACAGGCCACAAGTATACTCAGTTCCCCATGAAGAGCCAAGTCTTTCAATGGCTGTCTTGAAACAAATTGAAAAGCAGACAGACATGGATCTAAGCTCAAAGAAAACAAATGTGAACAGTCAGACTTGGAACTCAGAGAAACCAAGGGTAACAGGCTCTCACTTCATAACAGTCAACAATCTCATTCTTTCCCCCTCTCTTTTCCTAACTTTCACCCTGCATTACAGTGCTCTGTGTTAGTACCAATTAGAAAAGAAACAGTTTATGGTTATACTGAAGGTGAAGCTGACATAAAAGACCAAAGGGAGTTATATATAGGGGATGTCACTATTTGTGATTTTAAAAGTTTCCTTTATTCTTTACTTTAAAGCAAAACCTTTGGTTCAAGAAAAATAGCATTTTTCTGGATGCTTGGCCCTTCTTTTTGACTCAGAGTCTCTAAGTTGTTATTATTAACCCCTTGTTACAGAATGGAAAGCTAAGGGTTAAATGACTTACAATCTTACAAAAAATGATAGAAATGGAATTCAGCCCCAGGTCTGTCTGGCCAAAGAAGCCAGAATTGCGTGTTTCTAACATTAGCTTGATTTAGACATTTGCTCTGGCATCTACATATCAAGTCTATAAATGGTGTACTGTCTTTGTGAAAAGGGAAAAACAAAAACCACTACCCATCAGAGCTGCTGTATTGGACCATAGGGACAAATATATTATAGAGCTGTTATCCAGCTGAATTCCAGGACATCCAGGAAATGTAGTCAGACCAATGTTACAGGATTCACTTGTGAGTCAAGTACATAAATTTTCTTTAAAAGACCAAAAGAAAGGGCTCTGTGGATTCTGCCCACCCGTTCCCTGCTGAAGAGTGCCACATGGATTCTCTCTCGGTCTCAGTCTCTTCAGATTCTTGGCCACCGTGACTCTGCTGTGGTGGCTCCATCATGGTAGCTTGTCCTTAAATCTTACATTCTCCCCTTCTGTCCTACTACAGGTAAAAGTGAGTAGAGGTATGAAGTACATTCAGCATAAAAGGGAACAAGAGAACAACAGTTGGAGAATCTCCTATTATTTTATACTGTTTGGTATAAAATATTCCACATGACAGGTTTTTTTTTTCCCCTCTCCTAAATCATCTAATTTTAGAATTAGAAGAGAACTTAAAAGCCATTTAGTCTAGCCCATTTACTTTTTCTATTTTAAAATCTTTCTTATTGATCCTTCCCCTTTTCACCAAAGCAATATATGTTTATGGTAGATTACTTAAAACATAGAGATAAGAAAAGAAAAAGAGAGAGAGAGAGACAGAAAAAGTCTCCATTATCTTACTCCCCAGACAAAGCACCTATTTTTAATGACTATACAATATCCCAACGCATCATTGAACCAGATTGTCATTTCTCTATCTTTAAACATTTAGTTTATCTAAATTCTCCCTACTATAGTTGTTTCTAAATTTTTGCTAGTATGCATACTCCTGCCATATTTATTGTCTGCCTTAATCTTTGTGAAATCGGTGTCTTATTTTGTTTGTTTTTCCTGGAATCCAAATAATGATTCAACCACATTCACTTTACATAAAAGGAAACTAAGGTGCAGATATGGGCATTTACTTGTCCAAACCTACACATCAAGTTCTTATCACAACCACGACTGCATCCCATGTTGCTAGATATATTCAGTGATTGTTTTTAATAATCTTTACAGAAATGTCTGGTCTTTACTTGTCCTCTTCCTAGTGAATTGCAACTGCTTCCTAAATGTCATGGCTGGATTGAGTTTGTTCAATCGTGGAGCTCAGGGATTGAAAACATGTGGGACTTATTCTTCCACTTCCTTCCTTGGACTCATGACCTTGATTACATATCACATTATGGTGCTCTTTCCTCCTTAGCTGGACTGGGTCTCCATGTCCATCTCAGTGGAATACTTTATGAGTCCACTAACAGTGCATCAGATGGGATGGCTTATACAAAGCCTGTGTCGTATCCTTAGCTATAGCAACTGACTGTTTACACAAAGAGAGAAAATGAAATTCAAATAATAATGTACCTTGTTCGAAGATTTAAGAAAATAGTGGCATCCATGATAGGGATGTCAAAGTCTGAATAATTACTCATAAAAAAGAAGTACAATATTCAGTGTCTTTGATGCCATTTAATCTATTTTCTTTATACAATGATTTGTCTCATTTGAACCTTGCTACAATTTTATAAAGGTAGGTACCAGTATCCTTGCTTTCCTGATGAGAAAACTGAGACCCAAATGAAACAAAGACTTGTTGGAGCCTGGATGTTCACTGGCAGTACTTTCAGATGCTGTTCTTTCTCTGTCCTCTAATCCTTCTGACTGTGGTGTCCAGATACGTGATGGGTTTGGTTGGCAGCATGGATATCTAAGCCTGAGCGTGGGAGCTCATTTTGCTTTGTTTCCCTCTAGGAGAATTCCTGAGTTTTGCTGATGACTTGCTCTCTGGCCTGGGTACATCTTGCGTAGCAGCTGGTCGAAGCCATGGAGAGGTCCCTGAAGTCAGTATCTACTCAGTCATCTTCAAGTGTCTGGAGCCTGACGGTCTCTACAAGTAAGATATGTTGAATGTGTGGGGGTGCATGAAACAGACAGGATGATCATGAACCTAAGAAGAAAGGCCTGAGAAATTCTGTCCAGATCAGCAAAAGTTGTGTTGGCCAACCTGTATGTGTGAACACTGAGGTGCTAAGTTTACAGTTGTGTGGTCATAATACACAAATAAAAACAAGCCCTGTATTGCCATTGAACTGGTAGTGACTCATAGCGGATTCTCTAGCATTTTTGAAGCTGTAAATCACATGGGAGGATATTGTCCATCTTTCTCTCATGAAACATCTGAAGGATTAACAGCTCTAAAGAGATATGGCCTTTAGCTTAGCAGTACAACCCCGTATGGATGAGGCCACCAGAGCTCCCTAGCTGTGTAGTAGAGAATGGTAAAGGTCCAAAACCATCCATCTAACTGATAAAGAATTTGCAGCCCTCAGTGGGAAAGTTGCTTGTTCAAGATCACAGGGCAAGTTACCAAGGAGAGCTGGGCAGAAGTCTCTGTCTGGTGTTATTTTCTCTGGGGGAACAGAATTAGATAAGCCTATCTGTATTATATATACATAGTTTTGTTATTAATAGGTTCCACTCCTTTGGAAATTATGCCATCATCATTCTTTGCAGAGTATTCGAGAGCCGTTCACTCCAAACTCCTAGAGATACAAAAAAGAAACCGAAGACTTATATCTATCAGTCTCATAAATGAAAAAAAAAAACCAACAACCCTTGGTTTCTACTTTAATGATCGGTGTTCAGCCATTCCACTTTAATAATCTGTATACAGCCATCATAAACTGTACTGTGTATCTCTACAGACCAATTTTCCCCATGTGTTCTAGTTATGAAACCATAGGGCATCTCCGTTGCCAATCTTAAAAAGTTACAGTTGTTAAAAAGTTTATCCTCACTCATTGCTTATTCAATTCATCCATTCATCCTTTTACTGACACATTCTAGTGATTTGTTTATGTTACTTATCTATTCAGTGTACCCAATGTCTCACGTGCTTTGGGCCTGTTGCTGGGAGAAACTCTCCACTGGAGAAGGACATCATGCTTGAGAAAGTGGAGGGACAGTGAAAGAGAGGAAAACCCTCATCAGGTATATCGACACCGTGACTACAGCAATGGGTTCAAGTGTGTCAGATGTTGTGAGGACAGCACAGGATAGAATAGGGTTCAGATCTGTTGTCCACAGGATCACTATGAGTCATACTCAACTTGAGGATACCTAACAACACTAGATCCATTCACCATCTCTCTATCCATCTGTTCATCCATCCGTTTATCCATGCATCATATTCATCCATAAGGATAGTCAACCATTCTTATCATCCAACCATTTAATTATCAACTCATTTGTTCCTATTTTTATTTATACAATAACTACTCATTTACTAATTGAAGAGGCATTTTTCTGAGGATTTCCTATGTCCCAGGACTGTGTAATGAAGTGAGGCTATGAATGTGGTGAGGCTGAGCTTCCTCTCCTCAGGTAACTTATAACCTGTGGAGGGATAAAGGTCACAGACGGTAGATGTAAATAAAGCTTTGATATTTTTAGCTACGCGACCTTAGATAAGTCAGTTTACATCCATAAGCCTCGGTTTTAGCATTTGTAAAGCAGAAGTAATAAAATCTAGAGTGTAGAACAGAGTGAGAATTAAACAAGGAACATCTTAGCACAGTCTCTCAAAGTATGTACTCAATAAATATTAGTCCCTCACAATCTGTGAACTTTTCTCACCACTAAAATAGATTCCATTTCTTCTTTCCTCTCTTAATCTGAAGGATTACTTTCTTAAAGACCATGATGCCTTTTTGAATACTTGGCATTTTCAGGCTTACTAGTAACCCACTGTTTTCATGGAGCGAAGTCAAGAAGATCACAGTTGCCTGGAAGTCGGGGCCTTTTGATCACTAATCTGCCCCTAGATGATTCTGAGATCTTGGAGGGTAATTTTTATCCTCCAGAGAATAGCAAAAGCAACTGGGGCCAGGAGTGCTCTATCGACAGAACCCCCGAAAGGCAAGAAAGAGTCTAATATCTGCGGGTAGAGCATTTGCATAAACTTCAGAGAGGACAGTGAGCCCTGATGGTTCAGTAGTAAGGAGTTGCACTGCCAACCCAAAGGCACACAGTTAACACTCACCAGCCACATCGCAGGAGAAAAATGAGCAATATCCTTCTGTGCAACTAATTGAACTGAACTGCCTCTGAAAACCCACTGGAGGTTATCTATGACTCAGTTTGGACTTAATGGTACACACCAACAACAATCACAGAGGAGCTAGTAGATGCTTTAGATTGTGATAACTGCAGTCCTCTGAAGGATACCTGGTAGTACTAAGGTTGTTAACTGAAAAATTTGGATGTGAGAACCCATCCAGGGAAAGACCTGACAATCTGCTCCTATAAAGATTACAGTCAAGAAAATTCTTTGGGAAAAGTCTGTCCTGTCACATGAGATTGCTATGAGTTTGAATCAGACTGATGGCAAATGGTAACACAGTCCACATAGTGAATGGTGAGTTTGGGATCCGACTAAGAGAGTGATTCTCTATCTTCTTTACTAACAAACTAGGATCTATAACATCACGATCACCTCTCAAAGCCTCATTATATGGTGAAAATGGTAATGTGGAAAGCATTCCTGATGACTGCCTCTGGGTCCTTTGTCTCTCTTATACCATCCATCCTAGCCTGGAGGTACATGGATATGGGTTCAAATCTCTGCCCTGACCTTTATCAACTGTGTGATGTTGAGTGATTTTTCTCAACCTGTGAGCCTCTATTTCTTCCTCAGTGAAAATAAGGATAATATGGTGTGTGGCTCCCTGGGACTTTGATGAAATGATGCACAGAAGCTTTCTTCAATGGTAGAGGTTCTTTATTGTTGTGGTGTATCGTCATATTGGAACCAACCCATAGCCAACCGCCTGGCAGGGTTTGAGAAGCGGTTAATCACATGGGAGGAGATCCTTCACCCATGTGGCAATTGTGGATTCGAACCACATGCCATTGGGTTTCCAGTGTAATTCCTTACCACTAAGCCACTAGAACTCCCTCAGAAAGGCTCACATTAGGAGTTGTTATTATTACAGCTGCTATTTCTGCCCTTGTAGTAATTCCTCATTTCGGATGCCTCCATCTCCATCCCACCCCCATTCTCTGAACACTGGGAGAGATGGCATCTAGCAGGAAAGAACAGAGCACTGGCAGGTGGCTCCTCTCCACGGAGACAGAAGTAGTGACCCAGTCTGGGTGACATTGTGGTGACGTGGCTTTAGCTGGGCTGGAATCCTGCAGGCATGTTATGTAGACAGCAATGAAATGTTTTATGGAACCCCAAAAGCAATTACCACTGCAAGCTGACAAATCAACTGCCATCCATTAAAAGTGAGGAATATGTCCCTCCACCCCTTCCTTTCCTCATTGATTGGCCCTTTCCTCCCTTTCCTATCTCTTGGAGTGGGGGGCATCCTTTCTTCCTCTGTCTTAGAAATGTGCTTGTCCATAACTCTGAACATTTCTTCCTTTTCTTTTTGAAATCTATTTTATTAATGGCCCTGGGATCTGAGCCACTCTGAACAGGAGCCAGGGTGTTGTTTGGAACAGTCTTATCCCTCTGGCGGCTCTCCTCCCATTCGGTCTCGAGTTTTAAAATAGTTCCAGTGTGAGTTTTGGGGTTTCTCATTTTCACTTGTTCATTCCTTACCATAATGTTAAGTGTTTTTGGTTTTTCCCCCCCTCATAGGCCAAAAAGGCCATGTGTGGCAGTAGAATGGGGACAGGTTTTGGGGTCGGGCTGAGCTGGGTGTGAATCCTGGTCCTGCCACATACTTATTCACGGCAAGTCACTTATCCAGGGCAAGCCACTGTTATCTGAAATGGTTTCTTCCATTGAAACAGGGGGATTAAGTGAGAAACTCCACCAGCTAGGGCTACCAGGAGACCTGGCGTATGTTCTCTAGGAAATATCATTATTGTTATGTGCTATCAAGCTGTAACAGATTCATAACTAAACTTCCCGGGGGTTTTCCGAGACTGTAAATTGCATGAGAAGCCCTCTTTCTTCCACAGAGGAGCTTGTGGAGTCAAACTGTTGGCCTTTGGGTTGGCAGTGCACCTCCTTACCCCTAGACCACCAGAGTTAGTTATAGCCTTTTTCTTCCCAGTCCCTTCTCCTGAATGTTAGTCCTATTTTCTACCAAGAATTAACCTTGGAGGATATGCTTTGTGATATCGCTATATGATATGCTGTTGTTGTGTGCTGTGGAGTCACAACTCAGTCATAGCTGACCCTCTGGAGTATTTCAGAGGCTGTAAATTACACAGGAGAAGATAGCCCATACTCCTGTGGAGCAGCTGGTGGGTTTGAAACGCATGCCTTCGGGATTGTAGTGCAACTTCTTACCACCAGGCCACCAGAGCTTCCTCTATGGTATGTTGTTGTTGTTTACCACACAGTCAGTAGCTGACCCTGGAGCTGGGTTACAGGTTAGAGGCAGTAAATTACCTTTGAAAATATGGTGTGTTAGGGTTGGTGGGGTCATAGGGGGAGGTGTGTCGGAGTCAGCGAGACTGGCTCTAACTAGGCAGGCTTCAGAGCTGTTGTACATAGGGTTGCTATGAGCTGCAGACAACTCAAGATCGTATAACAACAACAACAACAAGGGTACCACTATCTTTGGGGGGCGGCAGAAATTGAATGAAAGAAAAAGAGATAGATGCAGGGAATGAGAGACTTGAAAGAAGTCAGGCTTTAATTAAGCAGCGTTGGAGGCTAAACCTGATCCTTGCTGTGAGAAGGTATGATGAAAGGAGTTAAGTGGTACAGGTACAAAAGACCATTGCCTGAGCCAGGAAGTCTGAGCTTGCGTGCTTCCACCACCACCACCTCTGCTTCTGGGGCCATGGGCCACATTCCTATCTTCTCTCTAGTCCTCAGTTTTAGCGTCTTTGAGAGTTCCGAGATTTCATAGTTACGCTGTAGCATTTCCT